ATTTTCAGCAGTGCAGGCAGAGAAAATCTTATATACCGAAATGCACGGTAGGGCGAGTCCCGGATAGTCACATATGCAACATAGCTAAAATGCAATCAGATCGAGTGTACGAAACTAGCAATCTCTCAACTATGCTCGCTCACAGATGTGAAATGCATGGACACCTGCACAAACCCAGAACTCGAGGCGAAAGATTGCACCATGTGTGGAACAGAAATGTACAGTCAGAGAATCTTTGAGTATGTGGTCACCACAATGACAATCGCTATCAACGGCTACTGATATAATGCAGCGACGCAGCGGATATCTGATTTAAAATGTGGACGCCCAATCCGAGACCGCACTAAGGTGGTATCTATTGCTGGTGTGGTTGGGGGTGGTGTTGCATTTTTGGCGTTCATTTTGCGAATGATGGCAAGATTGCCGTTTTTTAATGGCGGCCCATTTGGTATGGACGATGTGATGATAATTGTAGCAATGGTTAGTAGCCCGGGACGACTGGCCTGCCGTTTGAGCTCTGACTAACTCAATATTAGATCTTCACTATCCCCTTCACCGTTTTCTCGGTATTCAGTGAGTGTCATTGATTCTGAGATAGCCGTGGGGCAATGTAGCTAATAACCAATCTGCTTCCAACAGTCGCAAACGCCGGCCTCGGGAAAGACATATGGCACGTTGATTTCGATGATATTACAAAAGTTCTTTACGTTCGTAATTTGCCTCCCCGATCGGCGTGCTCTTTGCGTAACTGACAAACCCTAGATCTACTATTGGGACGAGTGGATTTACTTCTCGGCTATCGTTCCGACAAAAATGTCCCTTCACTTCTTTTATCTTCGCATTTTCCCAAAAAAGAGTTTCAGGATAGCAATATATATCGTCATGGGCATCACTCTGGCATACGGTATCGTGTTCATCCTCGTATCCGTATTCCAGTGCTCTCCTATTAAAACTGCATGGCTCCGGTGGGATGGCACTGCGCCAGGCCACTGCAATAATATCAACTTGCAGGGCTGGACAAGTGCGGCGATCAATATTGTCTTGGACTTCGTTACGTTGGCTCTCCCTTTAAGAGAGTTATCCCAAATGGACCTCTGGCGCAAAAAGAAGATCCACATATGTATCATGTTCAGTGTCGGTTCTTTGTACGTTGATATTCACACTCCATTCCCACCTCATTGCAACATAAAAGACTGACGGGAAAACTTGACAGCGTCACAATCGTTAGCATTCTCCACGGTCCAATCACTACTCAAATTTGCTAAATCACATCCTTTATCGTGTGAGTCTACCTTATTGTTAATGCATTACATC